CGTTTTCTGTTTCAAATGATAGCTGAGTGTAAATTTTTATGCTTAACTTGCATAGCCATATGCTTATGGGAGAAAGAATAATTAGGACTAATGAATTTCAATATAATAACGAATGTGTTTTTAACACTGAAGGGGTAGGTAGTGATGTTCGTAGAATGTAACATCAACACATTTTTATGTTATGTTTATTGTTGAATACTGGGGACAATTTAGCCACAAACAACTAAAAATGAGATCAGTAAATCTTTTTAAGTAGTGAATCGAACACGAAAACTTTTACTTAGCAGAGGCAGGGAACATCAAAGCATAATACGAGTACTACGACTTTGTAAGAAGACATCACAATTGAGGTGATGACAGGGTATGAAATTAAAAATATAATTAGTCCGTAAGTTAGGTAATGAGAAAATATTAGACACGTATTTTTTTATTTTGTCGTATAATAAAACTATACTTAATTAGATAAAACGAATCAAAGTTTAGGAGTGGGGGCTAAAACGTCATTTCTACTTATAAAATGTACATAGGAGTGACGTTCCGTGACATTTCAAATCCATATTTCGTCAAAAGTATTAGTTTCTGTAAGAAACTAAAATTAAATTAAAAATTAATCATCTACCCTATTAACCAGACTACATTAAAAAATACAGAATGTATTCTCGATTTTGTCTCAAACAGTATCAACCAATAAATACATAGCTACAACCAATAACTACCCATATCTCATGCAGATCATTAACACAATGTAACGCGCAGTTGAGCGTATAACGCACCCATTGTCCAGAGAATGAACGGCCAGCATTGCAACATGATAAATGATACCAATATTTCACCAATTCCATTCCAAAGATGTTTTTCTTGTTTCCTAACTTAGTTATGTATACGCTTCGTCTGTTTTCAGGAGCCTATTTATATTGAGAGTAGTTTTTTACTGGCGTTTTTTATGCAGCAACCTGAGAGCTTGTTTTCATATTTTAGATTTTTTTTTTGTTTTTATGAGATACGCTGGTAAACGACCCGCATTGAGCAAGCGTGGTGATTAATGCTCAAACCTTCTCCGTGTGAGAAGAGGCTTTGCTCAGCAGTGGGCATTTATAAGCTGTTGATGATGAAGTCGGTAAATGAGCAGACGGATTACCTGATGGTAAGCAATCGGTGCCGACCCTGGACATCTAAATACCAGAGGCGTTACAAGTGCGTTATCAGCCTTTTGGGAATTGAGAATTTGAGGACTGTAGGGGTTGTATTCGGGTGTTGGGGAAACTGAGGGCCTCCCCAGACATCACAAGCGTTGTTTCACGTCGGTTTTCTGTAAGGCTATGGTATAACTCCGGTCGCGACGGCCCATTTGTGCCGAAACATGGCTCTTCCACACTAGAAGTATTGGTGATTGTAAGTACTGTAAAGGTTTAATGTGTAAATTGAAAACAGACGGAAAAATGCTGTAGTAAAATATTTCCTAGATATTTGTCATAGGAACATACAATAACATCATTCTTTTTATCCTTCAAATGGGTAATCAGAGATGCAATGAGTGTGATGGTGGTGGAGTGGTGATTGATAATCTTAATCTAACTTGAATGCTTTTTTAATTCAGGGTTCATAATATTATTACTTACCATAGAAGTCTATGTAGCACTTTAAGTATATTATAGTAAAAATACCCTATATTAAGTAAAATCGCGGGTTACTCGCGCGAATATACTGAGATAAGCTGTGCGACATCGCCGCGACCGCGCACACTGCTCATGAGGAAGAACCCCTCTGTGGTTCGAAACTAGTAGAGCTTTTCTCAGTATATTCACGTGAGTAATCCGTGATTTTAGTTAATTTAGTATGTCTCACGATAGTTATTATACAAAAGGGAATTTTTGACTGCACATCTATTTAAAAAATTAAGCAAACCAAATTTCTTAACTAAACTGCAAATAAAAAAAAATTAACCCCAAATCAAAAATAGTGATTTGCACACAAATTGTTGAATATTAGGTTAGGGTTTTTTTTAATTAAATGAAATTTGTAATTAAAGTATTAAATACCAACCTAATAAAAATACCCTATTTTAAAATATTATAATATCTTAGCAATCATAATAACCATCTCATATAAGCCACAAATAAAAAACATCAACCCGAGCTAATGAAAAATTCTTTAATACGAGCTCAAAAATGTTCATATCAACTTTGTCACGGAGATATAACGCTATCATTTATCACATGGAGGACAGACTCCCATTACTTAACCTCTTACACAAACTCCATATATCAATGCAACCGCCATGCAACCATTTTGTAATGGAAGGAGCTAATTTAAACGAATTTACTACCAATAAGTTGCGTTTAACTCGTCGAGTACCGGTTTTGTAGACACAATTATAGAACAATAGGTTGCGGTCACCGGTGACCACTTGGTGTTTGACAGTTTAAGGTTTATTTTAGGGTATTGATAGGTTAATTCCATCATAACATAACATCACGCCTTTTTTCCCCGAAGTAGTAGGTAGAGGTGCACATTACAGCACTTAATGGCAGTATACAATGTAACACACACACATAACATCACGCCTTTTATCCCCGAAGGGGTAGGCAGAGGTGCACATTATGCCACTGTACAATGTAACACCCACTTTTCACTATTTATGTAATGAGTCCTATGTAATAGGGGGTGAGCCTATTGCCATATACCGGGCACAATTCCAGACTCCGTGCTACTACTGAGAATTTTATTTTAAACTACCCAGTAATACTTTGCCCAACCGAATCGACCCCGAGACCCCTTGTACGGCAGTTGCACTTGCGACCACTCAGCCAACGAGGCAGTAACGTGATAGGATGATTGTGGGTGAGAATTAATCATAATTGGAGTCAATATTGTAAACATTAGCGACTCGTAATTGTCTACAAAGTGGACAAAAGGTCTCCTCTAGATATTTTTTTTATAGGATATGCAGGCAAACGAGCGTACGGATCACCTGTAAGCAATCGGCGTCGCACTTGGACACCTGGAACACCAGAGGCGGTACAAGTGCATTTACCAGCCTTTTAGGGATACAAGTCTGTGCGCGAGTAAGGTATTGAGATATAATTATGAAATGTGCTCTGTCGGCACCACATACCCGCTAGCTAACTGCAAAAAATAATCTACTATGAAAAAAATACTTTCGAACTGATTTTTAATTAGAAAAAATCTCTCAACTCACTCTTCGGATTTTGTGTTTGACTTGCTATCGTAAATACAGATTCATAATAATTAAAACATCAAAATCTTCACAAGTCTTTTTTGACACTTGTAAAGGCTTACTTTAATTAATCTTAATTTGGCTTAAAGATCGAGTGTGAATATCGTACAATTTTAAAAACAAACTTAACGTTACGCCTTTTAGTTTTTTGTCTAATTAGGTAAGCAAAGGTCTTATGTTTCATTTATAAGTCCCATATAGTGGAACGTAGGCCTATTTCTATATACTGCACACAATTCCAGACTCCATACTACTATTATTAAAAATGAATAAAAAAAATATTTTTTATCTGACCCACCAATTGATCTTAATACTACTTGCTAGGCGGCCATAAGTACTGAACAGATCAAATACTTATTTTCACTATTTTTTTTATAAAGTACGTTTAAAAAACAAATTTCAATCCCGTTTTTTTTGAAGTCGGTTAATTAATATACTAAAAAAACGCTTGTCTGAAAACTGCATCAAAATCGGTACAGCCAATCGTGAGATTATCGCACACAAACGTATAGGTCAAACTAAGAAACTGCTTTATTATTAAAGTCAGTTAAAAATAAAACACGAATATTTTCAGTAACAAATCATGTTTATTTAAACTTGAAAACCATACAAAATGTCCTCTTTGGCAACATTATGTTGTTCTTATATATCTATCAAGTACATATAGTATATATGTACACAAAATATTTCATATTTTAATAAAACAGAAGCAAAGCTGCGCAATTGTTAATTACATTTTCATTTAAATTACATTTATTGTTTCTACAAAAAATAAATAAATCATATCATTTTATTATTACGTGCCATTTTTTTCAATTTCATTTCTTAATTGAATAATTCATTTTAATTGAAATTTTCAATTACGAATAATATTCATAGTTTTAAATTTTTGAATAACCGATACTTTTTATGTTTGCCTCTTGGAGTTTCGTTTATACAATTTTAATATTGTTTAACTTGAAATCATTATAATTAATCATTGAATAACCAATGAGTTTTTGTTGAATTTTATTATTATACCACAAAAACCAACCAAAGTATAAAGTGTTCTTAGTGACAGAAACTTATGACAAATGTAAAAAGTATGTGTCGTTGTATACATAATATCATTTCATTTTCTCATATCGGCACGGAATAATAAAGGCGAGGATATATTGAGAGCAGGAGCGATTTTTTATCTAGAAAATCATGGAAATGTATGAAAACATTTTCAATTATGGCTGTATGATTTATATATGTATATACTTGGTTTGAATGGTATTAAAAACACACTAAATATCTTTTAAATCTATTTAAAAAGCCTAATTTGCTTACTGTTCGTTGAAAACGTTTAAAAAGAAATTATCTATGTGAAAGAAAAGGGTAAAATCATAATAGTAACCGAAAAAATACATTACTTTTATAAGATTATTTAACTTCATATATTTTCAAAATTTATTCGAGACAGTACGTTTACGATTTGAAAAATGTCGCGCCTGCTATCTTTGCGCCCCTCGCTTATACGACACTTCGTTTTTTTGGCACAAATTTATTATTTTGGATACCTTATTTCGTAAGCATTACATTTCGTAGGAAGATTATTTACTGCTAAGACTAGACGTAGGTACTATTCAGATATAATTTATACCTATTACATTATACGAAGTATACATTCTTATTATATAAATTTGCGCTTAACTCGTCGAGTACCGGTTTTGCAGACACAATTATAGAACAATAGGTTGCGGTCACCGGTGACCGCTTGGTGTTTGACAGTTTAAGGTGGATTATAATTTAGATCGCTGATATTAAAACTTAAGATTCACGTGTCTTGGCAATTAAATAAGATTTATTTCTATATATTTCAATTATATGTTATATAATATATTTTCGTTACTATGACTCAAAGTCACATAAAAGCTATAATAAAATTAAATAAAACAATTACAATATATTTATTTGAAATCGACTAGTAAAATGTATAAGCAAACAAATCTACTAAAAGCTACATTTAATGAGGATGGCAACATTTTTTTTGGTATATTTTGTTACCTACCGTTCAGTTCATATTGAATACATTATATTTACATTTTGTTTATATTTTATTTGAATAACATATTTCTTTAAATATCTATTTGAATACAACATTGCGATTTAAACTCAGTTTCATAAATGCTTAAGTATATTTTGTTAAAAAATAATTTATAAACAATTTATTTTTAAATGCTGTATTTAATTTTTTGGTTTGAATTTAATTTTTTGTTATGTATTTTTTACAAAATGTTTGATGGATTGGAAGAAAGATTGTAGTGGCAAACAGTAAAGTTTCTTTTATCTTTGAAGACTCATCCGACTGGATTGAACATAAAACGGGATAACCATACCGTGTTACTAGATTACATTGAGTAAGTGGCACGACTTGGAATTACTTTTCTGCCTTTCACAAAAGATATTTTTTGTATTAATCCTTTTTGAGACACTTTATGGATTTCTTCACCAACAAACATTGAATATTTAATACTCTTTAATAATCTTTCAATTTGGATAAAAGTGATAGGACTGAGGGAAATCAGGCATCCATTGACAGATCATCTATCTTTGGAGTGATAACAATTGCGACGCTGATCGACTGACCTTCAGTTATTTAAGATTTTGATCAAATAGAAAAGAACCGTCCCAATCAATCCAGTCCTTTTGAGATTATTCGTCAATCTTACAATCCAATAAGAAGCATCGACGTTAAAATTCTTTGGTTTAACAATTTTTCATTGTTTTTAGGAGAAAAATACTTCGATGAAATTTTGTTTTTGTGTATTTATTTCTATTCTTTGTTTAAGATTTTAAACGATTGAAACTGACAGGTGAAAGAGAAAGGTTATTTATTTTTATTTAAATAAAAACATGATTTTACATTTTTAAATACATAATTGTGATTTGGTATAAAAAAGTATTTTCAGCATAGAAAATTATTATTATCGTATCAAGTTGATAACGGTGTTCATCTGAAAATAGAAAAAGAAAACAGTGTTAAGATACATCATATAGGTAATTGAAATATTTTTTTAAATTTATTTATACATACAATCAACTATCATTTAGTAAAATTATTTTTTTTCTTTTACTTTTCTAAATACAAATAATAAAAGATGTTTTTAATAAAATAATAAAATTTTCTTACAGCATTTACGAAAATTATATTTCATTGATTGAATATTTTATTTCATAATATTATTTTCATTCTCAAATTAATTATTCTGTTCTCTCACCTTAAAAAACTTGTACCCTATGGTTCTCTCGGTCGCAGACGATGATATTGCCTCCAGACATCACGGCAATGCCTTCCAGACCCTTGAACTCTCCATCGCCAGATCCCCAAGAACCGAAGGCTCTAAGGAACGCACCATCAGGGTGGAATATCTGGATACGGTTGTTGCCAGAATCGGCAACGACGATGTAGCCCTGGTCATCTACTGCTACACCCCTGGAGATGAAAATAAAGAATTGTGTGTATTTTTGCCTTTAAATATAAGGGCAATACAGGTTTTTATATAATAACTATCGTGAGACATACTAAATTAACTAAAATTCGCTACTCACGTGAATATACTGAGAAAAACTCTACTAGTTTCGTACCACAGAGGGGTACTTCCTCATGAGCAGCGTGCGCGGTCGCCTCGATATCGCGCAGCCTACTGTAGGCTGCGTGAAATCACCGCGTAGAGCTTTTCTCAGTATGTTCACGTGAACAACCCGCGATTTTTAATTATTTTAGCACTGAAGGTGATCAATTAGATATTTGTGCGCAGCTGTAATCGATATATGGTGCTGACAAGACACAAAACATACATTGATACTTTTTTATTACTTAATAAAAGCAACGTGTATTCCATTGAATATTTAAATGAATTAAAAAGACACATACAATGTCATAAGTATATTAAAATATACAAAAAATATTGGTGTAGTCTGGATACTGTAATATAGTTAAACTAATCGTTATAATGTTAAACGAAGCTAATAGCGTTTCTACAAAAGTTAAAATCATCTAGCTCTATACTAAATGAAAGCATTCAATTCTTGTCAAACCCTCGTTAACCATTTTGGATCATAGGCTAGACTTAGTATTTAGGTCACTACAAAATCCGAAACAAAGTACGAAACTAAAAACGTCATAATTTAGACGCTTGTAAACGTCACACACATTTCGGCGAACGCAACTAGAATATAACGTTATCACAGTCAAGTTCTCGACCAATAAAATCTGAGGTTACAACTGGGTTCGTGGACATAAAAATAGCAATAATTCGTGTATAAGTCATTTTGTTCTTGAAACGAAAAGTTGTAGAACATCGGTCGACCACGTAGGTACATATACCGGTCATATTTTATTATTGCGAAGTCGGTCAAGGCGCGTCTGGACTCAGGTCAAAATTATTGGCATCATTGTAGCGAAGGTTGCTACTGTCTTTTATCGTGGACAGTGATTTGAAAGAGTATTTTTTGAGACAAGGTTCGGCTATGTTCTCACCTATATTTCCGACAGCCTTGTCTGTTGATGTCAAGATCTTTGATCGAATTTTCTGTGCATCAAAATTAGTTTAGTATGTAACTGATCTGGTCTATATAATAAGTAGGTCGACGGTTTTGATTTATATTTTTAAAATCGTCCAGATGTCACTTACATAATATTGTGTTAGGTATATTAAACTGCATACAAATTCAATTCCGCTTATCCTAGAGAATTACAAGCAATTTTGACTAACCACTTCAAGACCTCGATAAAGGATACACATAGTTATAGGATAACCTTTCCACTACAAACCATTATTGATAGCAATATCCTCACCGAAGCCTCTAAACTATCTGCTAGTGAGCACAAACATCTCAACACTTATGGACTTTGAATCGCTCTTAACGTAAATATTTGGTCCAAGTTAAGGATTTAAGAGCCCGTAAAGCTAAATTAGAAGACCAACCGACCGCACTTTATAGGACCGTTGGAAACACACGTTAGGACTACAGTTTCAAAAGCTGATAAAGGATGTAGGTTTATGAGCTAATGTTTGGAGTCATTAGTTAAGTAAATCGCCTCATTTTCTTTGGATTTGGTGTAGCATTTTATAATAGAGGGGGATTTTTAGTGAAAGTTGTCGTTTTGTATGGTCTTTGTCATGTGTGGACTAAAAATGTTGAGAGAATATCTGTGTTGATGAGAGCAAAGCAATTGAGCGCTTCACATATATTCATGGCTATAATAATTTCAAGGTTTGCTTTTAATAATCCGTGTAATCTTGACTATATTCTTTAAAAATAATGAAAAGCGATTACCTCGGGAACTTAAACTGTCCATCTTCGGACCCTTCCTCACCGAACGATGAGAGAACCCTTCCATTGACATCGAAGACCTGTATCCTATGGTTGTTGGAGTCTGACACCAAGACTCTGTTGGTGCTGGAGACGGCGATGTAGTGGGGGTGTTCGAGCTGACCAAGCTTGGAACCGAAGGAACCAAACTTGCCAACGAACGTACCATCGGATTGGAACACCTGAGAAAAGAAAATGGGGTAAGTTCCAATTTTGTTATTCTTCACCTATGTGTAATCTGAATGTAGCAGTTTGACAAATATTAAAAAGAATCAAGGGTTCCTACGAGTTCTAAATATCTGTTGATTATGATGGACTACTGATAGAAAATAAAATATTATTAAAAGATTGGAAAGGAGAACATTATTTAAAATCGAAGAAAAATCAATATCATTTATTATAGTTTTGTATGAAACTCCGAATAGACGCCTTATACATACCTGTACTCTATGGTTTTCCTTGTCACAGACGTATATAAATCCGAGAGCGTCCGTAGTGATGCCCCACGGGTAGTTGAACTTGCCGTCACCAGTGCCCTGGCTACCGAATGCCCTCAGGAACCGACCTTGAGGGTCAAACACCTAGGACAAAAAAATAATTTTATAAGGTATGCAATATATTTTTTTGGTATATTAGCCGAACACAATGTTGAATGTAAAACAGGACATTTAATTTGGAAAGAAATACGATGTCTGGAATTTGCGAATTGTTTGATTCATCTTACTCATTACTCTTACTCTCTCAGAGTCCAGCAATAGACTGTTTGATGATTGTGATGACGCTGAATTACCATAACATTTTTAAGTATGGGAGAAATATGCCTAAGCTGGACCGGTTTGACCGGAGTCTCACATAGCCTCACGGAAAGCCAACGTGAAACAACGCTTGCGTTGTATTTCGTCGTCTGAGTGACCGTCCCCCTAACAATCCTCAAATTCCTAATCCCCAAAAGGCCAGTAACGTACTTGAATGCCTCTGGTGTTCCAGGTATACATGGGCGACGCCGATTGCGTACCATCAGGTGATCCGTCTGCTCGCTTTATCGACTTATCCCATAAAAAAACAAAATACGATACAAGTTCATTATGACAATTACATACGTTCATTAGACAATCACGGTAAATTATAAAAGTTGGTTGTAGTTATTAATTGAACAGTGTACGTGATATTGAAACTTCGCTAGAATCTGCCGTTAATTAATCTTTCATAGTTGATATTTTATTGCCTTTAGTTTCTAGTCAATGGGTAAATTAATAATTGCATAATTAATCACTAGTATTATTGTGAAACATTTCAACCACATCCACAATTCTAATTAGGGAATTATTATTAAAATCGAAAATGTAGTAAAAATATTTGTAGTAATATTAAATTGTAAATCGCAACCGTTACTACATAATGTTTAAATACAAGTTACCTATTAATAACATGTTTCTTATAATCATCATCCCTTATTATCCAAATATCAACCACAATACTGTTTACCGGGTTTCGGCACTTATTGCCACTGCACAATGTAACACCCACTTTTTACTACTTATGTTATGAGTCCCATGTAATAGTGGGTGACCATGTGGCAGTATTAGACATTTTGCTAACGTTCAATAATAAGATTTCGTTGTAAACAATAAGAACAAAAGCCACGTGTATTATCTTCGAATCTATCAACGATCACCTAAAATCGCAAAAGACTATCAATCGCAGTAGTCCAATATAAACCAATGACCTTATCATGGTATGCACGTTGCACTAAAAAGTACCTTACACCTAAAACATTGTTGAACTACGTAGTTTAACGTGCACCGAACACGTGTTACTAGTTTGGAATCCTGCCAATTTCTACGACAAAGATTGTCAAAGTACCCGAGCGACGTTTCCTTGTTTAATATTCTTGTTAAATTACCTACTGAGGCCAAATTCAGGCTATTTTAAATGTGAATGTGTTCCTGGAATTGTTTAGTTGTTGCTGTGTGGAGTGGAATTTGTTTTTGAAATTATAGTGAATGAAAACAAAGAAAGAACAAAAATGGAGAATCTTTGTAAATCTGTAGATATTGTCATCATAGTATTTCGTAGACTTCATCCAGAGATTGTACCCGTGAGTGTGAATACCCCTGATGTTCGTTTTGAGATGTATTGTTAGTTTTCCTACCAAAACATTGATACCGAATAAACAAAAGCATATTTCACGGGACCCAATAAATCATCTTTATTGTTGCTATCAATTACATCAGCAAAAAATGTTGTCAAATTATCCTTATAGCCTAATAAAGTAGGATAGATGGTAACCAAAAAAGTGCAATTTGTCTTTTCCATCTAATAGTCATTTCCGCAAGCTCACGTCTTAGCCACTATTTTGGTCCTTCGAGACGGCCAGCAGTCTGACTGACACTAATGAATTACGGCCAGGACAAATAGACGAATAGAATACAAATTCATGTCTCGTGGGAAATATGCTGAAATGGGATCACTCTAGTTAGAGATGTTTCGCTTTCGATCGCTGCGTCAGTACCGTGGCTTGTATCCGTAGCTTTACAGACGGGTCCCCAGTGGCTATAGGTGCGTATAAATTGTTTGAAGCCAAGTAACCATACAATTAGTAACGATAAAGAAATAAACCCAAAAAATCGTTGAAGGTAATCGGTCAATTGAAATAAATAGGAGCTCATATAACTCAGAACTTTTTCTAACACAAAAAAGTAAGCGAGATTTCTAAGAATAAAAACAAAAGCAACGCGCGATATATAAAAGAAATGTCTACATCTAAATCCGTTTTTATTTATTTTACAAGAATAATAAAACATACATCTTCCAAAATGAAAATGATGACGTATACCTACACATAAGCCTATGTTTGTTAAGGTAAACACGGCCAAATGGTCCCCAGTTTTTTGAAGCCAAGTGTGGCAAAAATATGTTGACATTAATGGTTTATAGCGAGAACAAAAAGACTTGAAAATCTTACTCTCGGATGAAATATGGGAACGTGGAAGAAAATTCACGAAGCATATTTCAGATTTGCAAATCTGTTCTAGTTTTGTTATAAAAGCTTGGAATGCGTTCACTGAATATTGTCATGATAAATAAATGGTAGTAGTTTTCGCTCCAGTTTTGTCATTAGTAATTATAGTTTCTTTTAACCTATTTCCTCAGAAGATACTAAAGTTACATTGTACAGTGGCATAATGTGCACCTCTGCCTACCCCTTCGGGGACAAAAGGCATAATGTTATGTTATGTTATGTTATGTTAGATACTAGAGAAAGTTATAAGTCAAAAATCAGTGTAGCTATTTGATGTTCATATCGTGCTAACCATAATCCTAAAATTGTATCATGCATCGATATAAGATGTTACGATTCTGTACGTCTTTTTAGGTACAAAAGAGAAGCAGTATAATTGTATTGGCTTTCCTTTACTTATGAATCATCACAATAAACACAAAAAGTTACTGTATCACATTGTTAACAAGTTTTGTAATAAAACTAAATAAATATTTAAGCCAATAATAAATATTGTCGAAAGAATCAAGATATTGACCTTGCTTTCTTTTTTTATTTTGCAGTACTCTGGATGCAATCCAGATGTCTGCCAAAATACTTTTTAGTTCAAGTACAGTTATACGAAATTTCGGGATATTTTAAGCATCATGTCGCCTTAATTTATCGCCCTCAGTATTTATATATAATTCAAAAGTTTTGAGCTTAAAATGTTTAAGAATGGGCTTAGCAGTCAATTCTTTTGGAAAATTTTAATTTTTCAAAGACATATTTGCTCAAGTATTGTTCGCGCGGTTGAGTCTTCATTTTAAATTCAGCCATGCACAATTTTTTATCTTGTATTAAATAAGTACAAAATTCATTACCAACGTCTGAAATAATAGTTATCATAGCTTTGTTCTAAAAACTATAAAATATGCGAAAATATTAACAGGCTTCAACATCTTTGTATTGTGAATGCATAATGAGAAGCACTTTGAATTTTAAATGTTAATACTATTCATATTTACGAGTTGCCACTTCGAGTACTTCTCTATTCTCTTTTGTTTTAAATAAATGTAGTTTCTGCAATGAATCGTATTAGCATTACTTAGAACTGCATTTTTAATGCAAATTATTGGCGCTTTGTCAACTACATATGTTAAGTGTTGAAAGCAATTTTGAAGTTTATTATATTATTTGTCACCGTATTTACTAATCCCACGGGTGTTATACAAGTTTACTAAGGGAATTACACAATTGATAGAGACTAGGCAGCAGTGCTCTGTGACAAAATATAATATGAACACAGGTTGTTACTGGTGCTGCTGAATTTTACTGGCTAGCTTTTACCCGCAGCTTTGATCGTTGTTTTATCCCATGGGAGCATTTAATTGGGATAAAATCAAATCACCTAAGTCAGTCCATAGCCTGCCTGTATACTAAATTTCATCAAAATCCGTTCAGTAGCTTCGGCGGGATTGACGATTGAAACAAAGAAACTTTTATATTTATAATGTTTGTTTGATATAATTAATTATATAGCAGTTTTACTTAAGGTACAGTAAATTATCTTACTAAGTACTAAAATAAAGCGAAAGAATTTCCAATTCTAGACAGCTAGACGGCACTGTTGGTGCGGTGGCTGGGCAACTGGCTGCCGCGCAACGTGTCGCGGACTCAATTCCCGCACAGAGCAACTCATTGTGATCTACAAATTATTATTGCGGGTCTGGGTTTCATATGTATGTGAACGCACCCACGACACAAGAGAAAATCACAGTGAAAGGCAACGTCTTGTTATTATAAAAAAAAATCTGGTCCTTGTATCCGAATGGTTTTATACCAACTACTATGTAAATTTAAATGAAATATTATATTATACTAATACATTTTCTATAAGATCCGTGCATTTGGGACATTATACAAAATATATATTCATAAACCTTTAAGGTAGGCACAGGATAAGGTTGTACATAATATGATTTATAAAATTGGTTTTGTATATTTGCGTATTGAATACGGCTTGTCTCGAAAATGTTATTTTTTGTTTTATCCTGCCAATAAAAGAGCTCTTATTTTATATTGTATCTTTGGTTAAGGTAATGTAGATCTATTTTTGTTTGACTTTTTTAGTGTTATATAAGTAAGTCGTATTTACAATTGTTGTTCATTTTTTACAATTATTTATGCTTTAGGAATATAACTGGACTGTCGCGTTGGATGAGTGGTCGAGGGGTTTTGAATTCGATTCCCGGATCGAAGAAACTATTACTGCGATTTTTTAAATTCTCAATTGTAGCACCGTGTCTGTAATTGTGCCCGGTATATGACAATAGATCCAACTCCTGTTACACGGGACTGATAACGAAAATAGTGAAAAGTGGGTGTTACATTGTTAAGTGGTATTAAGTGTCATAATGTGCACCTCCACCCTTCGGGGATAAAAAGCGTGATGTTTTATGAATATAATTTCATGTACACATCCGTCCGTGATAGGCCATACTAGACTTAAACCTTCTCTACATAAGAAGGTTTACTATAATCTCAACACCTTGTACACACAATTTCAGACATCGTGCTACTACTGAAAATTTTAAACTTTTCCCGACCCGGTAATTGAACCCGAGACTCTTTGCCCGACAACCGCACTTGCGACCACTCGGCCAACGAAGCAAAACGTATTTGCCCATTTTTCAGTAATGTGTCGATGTGGTGAACTTATCAGAACAAATATTTCACTGCACAGCAATTTGGCTTCAGTGCAAGCATTTAACTGATAACTTATAACAGTTGGTATTTAGCAACCGTTATTTATAGCCGTTATTGGAACGTCGCGGTTATTAGTTGTTGTTAGTTCAACTATTTATTTGTTTTCAAGTAGATTTATTTAAATAGTGATTTACAACTAGACCTGGCGTTATTTGTAAGTATGCGTACAACACTTATTAAATTAATGTCAAGAAGATAAATTATGTGATAGCACAATGACCCTATTTTGAAAGCTATTATTATATTTTAAGTGTGGGAGAGCCATGCTTCAGCACGAATGGGCCGGCTCGACCGGAGTGATACCACGGCCTCACAGAAGACCGACGTGAAACATCGCTTGTGTTGTGTTTCGTCACGTGAGTGAGGTTACCGAAGCCCTCCCCTTCCCCAATCTCCCCAATCCCCGAATCCCCAAAAAGCCGGTAACGAACTTGTAACGCCTCTGGCGTTCCAGATGTCCATGGGTGACGCCGATTGATACCATCAGTTGATCCGTCTGCTCGTTTACCGGCCATAAATGCCATAAAAAAAATATTATAATATTGCTTCAATTTAGAACCAGACTTCGATGGGTTGATTGATGAAGTGATTTGCTAACCATCTGCTACTAAAACTGTTACAACTTCCAATACAGAAAAACATTTTGTATTACGTTTATAACTCACAAGTTGTTGTGGTCTGTATACGATATACATAAATTTACTAATTATTCCTAAAATCCGGTGCGTAGTTTTAAAGATCTAAGCATACATAGGGACAGACAGACGCGGATAGCGACTTTGTTTTATACTTCGTAGTGATATGTCTATTAACGCACCCCACTGGAGATCCTAGTGTAGGACCATGTTCAAAAAAATGTTCCCTGTATTATTTTTAATACTTACTTGAATACGATGATTGTATCTGTCAGCTATGATGTACTGTCCAATTCTATTGACAGCTACACCGGCCAGGCAGTCAAATTCTCCTTCGCCGCTGCCGTACTGACCGAACTCTTTGACGAAAATACCGTTGGAATCGAACACCTGCGGGCAAAAGGACCATTAAGACCACTTTAGCTGAAAAAGGTCGTTAGAACATTCGTTTCTGTTTTTAGACACGTTGTTTACTCATTTGTTACAAAAAATGTCTAATGTATTGTTACATGTGCATATATTTAAATGTATGTGTGTGTTGGAATTTGTTTGAGATTATTGAGAATGAATTTTTGTGTATACGTTTTTAAAACTCAGATGAAATATATTAGAACATATTACTTTGGGCAAGATCCACTATTTAACAGTTTCAAAATTAAGAACTGGAAACCATAGCATAAAATATATTATTCATCATCTTGATACTTTGAAACATGATATACATATATGAACAGAAAGAAAAATGAGCATTCGTATTTATTTTTATTAGTATCAACTCAGACTAGTATCGAATCAAGATGCATAAGAATTTATCAAAAGTACTTTCTGCTGCATATTTGTGATTCCGTTTGTAATATTTTCACTGTATACTTTTAGTCAGCTGAGATTTATCCACTCAAGCATATTTCGACCTTATATCATTTATTTATACATTCTCAAGTACTTGTGTGATCCGAAATAGATTTCCAATTAACCAAACTGTGTTTACGTCCCCATTAAAATTGGAATAGTTCGAAATTTTTGTTTTGACCTTGTGCCAAAATGGAGAACGCGCGTTCAACATCACTTCATCATTAATTTATATTTGGAGCTACGGTCATCGAGTATAATTTACAACGAAAACTTATGATGCTTTCTCTACTGCAACGTTTTCAAGTAAAATTGCATACTTTCTGAACTGGAAATGTGATTGCATGGAATAGGATTTCAATATTTAAAGCTTACATAAATAGTAAATACATTAGATTTGCATATTTATATCCACTTTGTCGTTGAAGTGAATTTTCGATTCAGTCGAGTTTACAGCTGTTAACGAGTATTTCAGTAGCTTAGACTTCTTTTAGGTATTTATTTCTTTAAAAATTTTAATTATGTTTCAAATTTTAATGAGTTGGTGTTAAAAAGGATTCTTACCTGCACTCTATGGTTAGATGAATCAGCCACGACCATTGTATTGTCGGGACCTACAGCGATACCACGAGGCCATGTAAAGCATCCGGGTTCGCTCCCCCGACTCCCCACGCTGAATTGTAAACGGCGTTTCTGCATGTACTGGCTCCTAGGGGAGGAACCGGCTGCTGCGAAACCTAACATCAGAAAAATCGATTAGTTTACAAGAATATAACCAAACATAAAACCATCTGGAAAACCAAACCTAAGCACTCAATCTATGTACACGCCAGTTGTTTTCTATCTAACCTGCTACCGCTGCTGTAGCCGCCGTAGGGGAGATGGGGGAGCCTGCCGCGTTTTTTGAATCGTCATCAGAACTGGCAAGCTCGTTTGCCGAGCGTAAAGGTAGCCCGAGAGACAGGCGACGGGATGTGCTCGACGATGTACTCGAAGGATCGCGATCCTTGCCCCGCGACCCGTACTTGTTCTTCAAATATCTCGCCCAAGAACTGAGGGCCGCTCCGTCTTTTTCACCGGGGGCCGGCCGTTCAGGCGAGCTCTCTCGTGACTTCAGTGCGTGTGAAGATCGGCTACGAGACAACTCCGAACCACCAGTGCCGGAGCCGTATCGAGCCGCAAGGTACGCAGAAGGCGATGCTGTTGTGGGTGACACCGGATCGTCCTGATCGTCGTCGTCTCCTGCACCGAAACCGGTGTGACTGCTCTTACTTCTTGCGAGACGGTTGCGGCGCTCTTTCAGGGCGAGGTATCTGGATCTAGCCGTGGGATATTTTGTCTCATCATCCAAAGATGATGGCGGTTCTTCTTCTCTTGGCTTGCTACCATATCTGTTGCTCAACGAAGACCCAGCACTGTATCTAGGTGCAGGCTCTTCTTCTGTTTGTGATGACTGTCTCGTGCGGTATCGCGACTGTGAAGGAGACTCTTTCGTTTTATTTTCAACGGCATCGTTACGGGCATTATTGCTACGCGCGAGTAGTGGACCGATGTCACTTCGAGCCATCGCCTGGCTCTCGGGCTTCCTTTGCGTGACAGGCTCCTCGTCACTCTCCTCCGACGAGTCAGTTTCTTCTTCGGAGCTCGTGTCGGAGTCTTCGTGAACCGGCTCGGCGGGTGCCGGTGCAGGTGTGGGTCGCTGAGAGCCGATAAACCGACTCTGAACCCGTTGCGCGCCACCAGCTGTGCCGTTAGTTGCCGCTGGTGCTGTTCTCTCGTTGCCTGCGGAAGAGAAACGAGATCCAGAAGTTGTTGCAGGCGCGCTAGGGCTGTATTTTGCTTTTAATTCTGCGATGCTTAAAATGGCACCTGTATGTTTCACCGCCGAGCCGGAGCTTTCAGTAGAGGCGCTAGATTCCGTGCTCGGAGCACGAGCAGCGGGACGGTGAGGAGCTGGCGTTTCAGTGGCTGAGGGTCTCCTCGTAGTTGTGACTGGCTTTTGTGGTGCAGGCGCATTTTTACGCTGGTTTCGCTGCAGAGATCCAACTGATTCATCGGATTCACCGTCACTGGACGCCTGAGAAATTACATGTAAATCGATATTGACACGAAACGGTAGGTTTTTTATTGTAGTATTTGTGTGTGTATACATAAATGAGTTAGCTGTGTACGGAGTGTATTTTATGGAATGCAGTTAGTTTTGCATTTTTTTTCTTGTTAGTATCGATGATTTCTTAATATCTATTTTGTACTCTTGGCTTAGGTTTCACTCTCTATCTTCTTCCCAACTCACCTCCCGCGCTGGTGTAGGCGGTTTACGATTTACTGGGGTACGTTCTTCTTCTGCTGGTCGAGCTGGTGCACGTTCAGGTTCTTGTGAAGAAGCAGCGGCGCCTTTGTTTTGTCTTTTGAGACGTGATATTTCATCATCTTCACTTTGTTGCCTTTGCGCTGGTGGTGGACGCTGACGCGGCTGAGGTGCGGGCTGGACGGGCTTAGGAGGTGGTGGAGGAGGTTCTTTTTTTTCTTTCTTCTTTCCACTGTCAACGTCTAATATCCTCTGCATTACACGCGGACAGTCGCTTAATCGGAATATACCACTAAGTGGCCCTCGGGTAGCATCTTCAGTATCGACGACCTTCTCTTTCTCTTTTTCTTTTTGTTCGGCTTTAGTTGCACGAGTAGTTTGTTCTGAGTCAGAGTCATTATCTAGGTGACTCTTGACAAAACGAGAACGGAACCTAGATCTCGCTGGCCTATGCTCTGACTCATACCCACTGTAATCATCAGTAGCACCATAGTCCCTTGTATGTTTTTCAGGTGGAGGAGGACGGCGTTCACCAAACTTACGACCGCCTAGTATGGGCTCATCATTCTCCTGCCAACCCTTTGCTTCTTCTTGTTGGCGGAACTGTGTAGCTAGACGGTGGTCACTCTTTGACCTTGTTAAACCTTGGTTCTGTTGCATACTAGAGGAGTATGCATTAGGTTGAGTGATATTCAGTTCACCGTAGCTTGCAACATGCATAACCAACTGGTTCGGGTCGTGGGTCATGATAAACCGTACTCTACGGTTGTAATCACCCGCTTCGTAATCGAAGTTTCTGAGGAACTCGACCGTTTTCAAGAAAATTTCTTTAGTATCTACTAACTCCGTATCTTCCCATTCTACGTCGTCGTTCATATATTTATCGGCGAGATCACAATTACTTTGTATATTACTTAATTCTAACTCTAAGTTATCTTTCAGATTAGTGAGGTTTCTAAGTTCAGTAGCAAGGTAGCGATCAACTTCGTTTCTTAAGAAATCGGTTCTATCTTTTAGCGCCTTGGCTAGTCTTTTATGAATTTCGTCGACTTCTCCAGCCACAGCTCCACAGTTGGTCTGAAGATTTATTGTGTTACGTTCAACTACTCCAAGGATGTCTTGTAGCCTGTTGAGACCACGGCGTATTTGATTGTTGATTCTAGAAATTTCTCTACGTAAAACTTCCATGTGTGCTGACTTACAGTCTTCGCAGACTTTTTTGTCGCAATGGGCACATGGCGCACAGTACGCTTTTTCTGAGCATACATTGCATCTTTCCATTACTTGCCCTGCCGTTGGGTCTGGAAGCTCTCCAGCGATGTTTGCATGAAGTTCCAAAAACCTCTGGAGAGTTACATTTGTTGGGAATCCCTGAACACCTTGGTATGGGATTCTGTGCTCGGCACGGCATTCTGGACATTTCACCTGTAAAAAAATGTGAATTTAGATTTTTGACAATGAAATAAGGTGCCATTCAAACCGTTGAAAAACCATGCAGTATTTTGTGGAAGAATATTACACAACATTTTACCTTCATACCAGTTGGCTCTGAAGTTGCATTTCGAAGATTTGTAAGCAATAGTTAGACTAACTATAACACTAGTTAATATCTAACTACTTCTAGTCTAACCATATTTTTTATCTTCTACATACCTGTCGCCTGACATAGTCGACAAGGCCGTCCATACACGGCTCCATACAAAAGCTGTGCTGACATGGCAACAGCTTGGGATTCCTGTACCGGTCGAGGCAGACGCAGCACGTCAATAGTGACTCGAACTGCTCCATAGTTGCTTAGTGCTGTTTACGTACCTGTTGAAGAAATGGAAATAGTAAATTATATGGTTCTTTCAAAAGTTATACGAATAAGAAATTTACTAGCATAGGGATAAGTTATAAATTCAATTGAAATGAATGGAAGGGTTATTGATACATTAATATCTTATGATCAACTGACGGACAAGTAGGTATTTAGTTACGTTGTTCGTTTCAATACTGATCCTATAATAATGAAACCTCACTACCCACTAAAATTGTATAAAGAATATATCATAACACATACTAGATACTAACAGGACAGAAACTCGATATCGAGATATTGAAAACCTAAACGTCTGCTAATGTGTTTTTGAAATATCTATACCTATATCATTTATCGATGGCTTCCAAGAATAAGGGAAAACATCGTGAGAAAATCTTCACGTTCATAATGGCGTCTAATGTATCTGGAAGGTGCGTAATGCTTTTGAAAATGATGGCAGTAAGTGAACTACTGATGTTTTATCTATTGACACTTCTTAGTTTGAAAGTTTATTGGGATAGAAACCATAATTATGGTATACAATTTTGATATCAGATTTCAAGTGTTTCAAGTAGAAATTTTCGCTTTTTTTTATGGGATAAGCCGGTGAACGATCTAACGGATCACCTGATGATAAGCCATCTGCATCGCCTATGGACATCTGGAACACCATAGGCGTTACAAGTGAGTACCAGCCTTTGGCGATTAGGAATTGGAGGATTATCGGAGATTATTTGAATAGTAAATAATATTTATGATGTCATTAGTATCTACCTAAATTGTATATATCTTATAAGTTAGTTATTTACACGATTACTTGTATTAAAATCTCTGTGCACTAAAATTTTAAAACGTAATACATTATAACTGTTTCATCAGCCGTTTATAGACCTTTTTTTAATCTAGATCATCGAGATGGCCTGTTTTAGCCAATTCTATTTAAAGTAATCTAATTATAAAATCTACCGAAGTAGTATACATCAAACAGTGAAGTCGGATGTTTAACTAAACCTGCACGCATGCGTGGCGCTACTGATGAAGGATAGTCTTTCATGTTTGATATTTGAGGTGCTCTAATGAATATTAGAGCCATATTTAAATATCATACGATTATGAAATAGTTTATACTACGAATGAGTTATATTCATGACGAATTTGTATGTTTTGTTTGTGTTTCTGATTTATTTTTTAACATAATACGTGGGATGTAGGTCCGTTCTCCTGTTATTTGCCTCTTGATACCCACACAAACTGATGTAAGATCTATTTTTAAAATTAATATCACAGGAAATCGATTAATTCTCTCAAAATAACACTCGTTTCCCGTCTATACTCTCAGTTCATAATATTTAGATCATAATCTCAAACTGAAATCTCAAGAAGAAAAGATTTCGATTAGATTTGCATTAATATGCGATTTGGGGACGAAGACAGAGATCCAATATTGATCAATCGTATTTCTTCGGGAGGTGAAATTTTCATTTAAAATTCAGTCGACGAGACTTATGACATTGAGCGCTCCGAATATTTAAAGGGCTATAAGGAATATTCTATTCACGAGGAAGCGATGGAAATAAAGGTATTGGCTAAACTATTCACAAAGTTTTGCCAACGGATTTATCCTACGGGATAACCTTTCACAGTTAAACGACCTTCACTAATATAGAATTTTATAGCATCAGACGCATAGTTATAGCTATGGTTGAAGCTCAGAAGTTAAATTTGGTGTTCGCACAAGACATCCTCTGAGATCCGGACGGTTTATAAATAGAAGCGTTTGGTATTTTACACGCCTGCTTTACTGGACGTTTAGTCACGACTTCGGCAAATGATTTTGAACCATAAGGTAAAAGGCATAAAACAGGTTTTGCAAAGAAGGCACACTTCCTAACATTTCAGCTGTTACATCAGGAGATACCAGCGAAAATAATGATTTTGAATCTTATAGTGTGAAGCGTAAAGTGTAAAATGGGATGAATATAAATATTTGTCAAATCATTCTCGTGGTTTTGTACATACGTCGAGAAATGTACATCTACGTAGTCATTTTGAGTCTTGTGACACAAATCATAAAGTGTTATCCACATGAGAATTGTGAAGTCAAAACTTATTTCAGAGTTTCCGTCAGTTTAGTTGTCACGGTTTTAAGAACTCTAATGCAAGAGGAATAGAGCAGAAATTCCGTTACAAATGTGGTTAGTGAAACTGTTGCTGAAAATTTAGAATTTATAGAATTTTAAAATACTCTATTTTTACTTTTTATCTTCAAGTGTGTCTTTTTGTAACAATTCTTATCGAGTGCGGTATCCTTATGATTACAATGTCATAATATAAAATTCATTTTGGCAATAATGATAGGACCGATTACCTTATAATAATTTAGAACAAAGCTTACAGAAAAGGATAGTTTAATAACCTGAGAAATATGGTAAATACTACTCAGACGCATCGAGTTTATTCTGATCGTTTCTGATGAAATACCGCTAAGAGTTAGGTAATAGAAATGCCACAAAAATACTTCAAAAAATCTAGTTTCTTTTAAAGAATCTGTGTTGGAGTGTCTAGTAATTAGTTCGAGTGTGCCGATGGCTGAGTTGGCTCTGCCTAGCTCCCCTGACTCATTAGGTGTCGTTACTCAATAGGTAACTGGGTTATTTGTGAATGGTGACATATTCTCTTTTTTAGATTTCGCTTCATCACGAGCCTTAGATACTTGTGTGGAGAAATTCTTGTTGCATGACTATTTGGTTTTTACGTTGCAATTCTGTTTGTTATTTGCTTAACTTTAATTTAGTTTCTTTTAAAATATAATTTGATCTTTGTATCACAAATTAGCACTGATAGTGTTGACTAATTCGTTGATTTTAATTTGAATCACCTTGTTAGTATCAAAAACTGTTTCAATATTATCTTTATGAATAAACTTATGACTAAATATTCTCATAAATATTCCCAAATGTAACAAATTCACATCATTCCTATCTTTATCTAGTGTTCGTTCAGTTTTGTCTGTGACGGAGTGAATAAATTTAGAAAGAATCGCGTCATGTAGCACGTCACTAAACAAATAGGATTTGTTCTGACGTACAAGACTACATCATGGACTAAAATGTTTTAGATTTTATCTATCTTCGTCTTCTCTAATCAAGAGGTCGTCCTTTAGTAAAATATATAATTTTCTTGATAACGTTTCTTTAAATGGAAATTCAGCTTCTGCAATACATTTAATTTCTACGTAGATTAAGTCATTGCTTTATTGTCAGTCCTTTACTCTCATTAACATTACCTATACAATATGATATTGTTACTTTGTTGGAATAAAAGTAGATTGTTATCAAAATTATTTTCTTGTTTGCGAGTAATGTCGGATTTATTTGATTGATTAACTGGAGAAATATCTATCATGTCCGATTTTGATTGGTTAGCGAAGTCAATCTAATTGGCTTGATATTTTGATGTATGCTTTCAAATATTGGAATAGCTTCAGCTAACTATATTGACTGACTGACTTATACATACGTAATGACGAATCATTTTTTGCTTAAGGCAACTTTTATTGAAATGAACTATATATCTTATCTATTTTATATTGCAACTTCTGTTTTATATTATGCCACTCTCAGAATATAGAAGTTGTAAGTATATTAACCACGCAAGCTTTATAAATACAACTCTTTCGGATTCCGCATATTTTTCGCGCGCTTCACCTATTAATATTCTCTAGATAAACAAAACATTTACATCATTATAAAACTCGAGGCTCGATGTTTTGCTTCCAGCGTTAATATATTAATTTACATTGCGTGGGATGTTATGAACATATTCCGCTGCTTTCCTTGTGAGCGTGTAATGGAAACGTCATTATTATTTTTAGTCGTTTTGGCAGACGGTTTATTTTTTTTTTACTTCTCATTGAACACTTTGAATCACTTTTCTACGTATTTGGCTTACACACAAAAGCTTTTGTGTGTTTGTAACACGTTTTCTTTGAATTTTGTATAAAAGCATTGTTTCATGGTTCCGGGTTAATTAAATCACGATTTATTTTATTTATGAATGTTTTACAAAGGAGGGCTTCATGCCACAGACATTTCGTGATAAGTACATACTTAAATAGGATAAATATGAAAAAGACACTCTTCTAAGTGCAATAAATATAATATAATGTGCCTATAATTATTTTTATGTATCAATACATAGTATAAAACAAAGTCGCTTTCGCTGTATGTCCGTATGTATGCTTAGATCTTTAAAACTACGCAACGGATTTTGATGCGGTTTTTTTTAATAGATAGAGTGATTCTTAAGGAAGGTTTTTATGTATAATACATGCATATTGCACCCGTGCGAAGCCGGGGCGGGTCGCTAGTGTGCTATAAAGTATAAAATAAATAAATAACATAATATCACGCCTTTTATCCCTGAAGGGGTAGGCAGAGGTGCACATTACAACACTTAATGTCCCTGTACTATGTAACACCCACTTGTCATTATTTATGTTATGAGTCCCATGACGTGACGTCACATTTCACAATCTCGTACAAAGTTCACAGAAGACTGTCGTTTTTGAGAGTTCGAAAAAAGTATTGAATTTTACTAGTTGATAAGTACCCAATTACACGCCCACAGACATATATATCACACAAAAGAGAAATAAACCTATTGCTACAATTGACAACTAAGAAATAAAAACTTCTGTCTTGAAAGTGCCTGTTCAGAAGCACAGGTACGCTGTGATAGTTTGACATTATAAGGTAATTAATTTACTAACAGCTACTTTCACTGGCGCTGATCGGAATAAACGAAAATTAAAATTAGTTCTTATTTTAATCAAGTTTCCTAGAAATAAACGTGGTTCTACAAAGTCAATTTTATAGCTCATGAAAGAATTTAGATTGATGTGGCCTAAAATCTGGAAAAATATTTCATCATTTTATCAGCATATGCGAGACATACTTCTTGACATTTCTCCGAAATCAAACCTAGTTTAAATGTACTGAGCCATTATTAT